GTCCTTTCCAACCTTGGTGATTCTGTGAAAATCCCCAACCTTAGCCCAGCGCCACGTGCGCGTCTGCAGCGGTGCGAGGCTGTGAATTGCCGGGGGCTGCTGCTCAGCGCTTGCAGCCATCGGCAGCTGGCACTGGCAGTGCGCTCGCAAGCCCTGCGGCCTGCCCATGCCCCCTCCAAGCGCTCTGGGGTCTCCTGCCAAGCCTGTGGGGACAGCCAGGAGAAACAAAGGAAACTGCCCACAAGCACCGAAGGAGCCTGAAAACCCGCAAGCGTGAGCCTGGGGCAGGCCTTGACACCCACGTTTGCTCCCCCCGTGCCTTTTGCTGGCTGCAGATGCAGCCGGTTTTGCTGCTCCTTTGCTGGATGGGAGGGCGCAGACTGGCGTGGGGAGCAGTGTGGGGGTCACCCACTTAAGGACATGGGTTTGCGTTTCCGGAGGCTCTGCCAGGCGCTGAGGAAAGCCCTGTGAAAGGCCTTGCTCAGGCTGGAGTGCGTGTGGCCTCAGCTGGCTACTGCTGGAAGTTATATATACCCTCCTCAGGGAGGGTGTAGCGTGGTGTGCTATATGGCCCTGCTGCCCTATGGATGCACAAATACCCCCCGCTGCATACCTGTGTGCTCACAGGCATGTACAGGGAGACAGGAGAGAAGCGTTGAAGCTGCTGTGAAAAATCAAATTTTCTTTTAAAATGAGAGCATCTGGAGGTGAACGGAGCTGAACTTTCCCGCTCTCATCTCACGAGTGAGGAGGAGAAAGTTTGCCCAGCGTGGGGCTGCTCCCCCGTGATGGCCCTGAAGGTGTTCCCCAGGGATGGGGGGCTCAGGGGACTCATGCTGCTAAAATGCAGGGAGCCAGCTGGCCACAGGGTCAGCACTGGGGGCCGCAGCCGCTGGGGAAGGCTGTGCCTCCTGCTGCGCTGCAGGAAACATGTGAACGGGAACGGTAGCAGCACCAAGTCCCAGGAAGCGGCAGCTCGGCACCCCAGCGGCAGCTCCAGCCTCGCCAGGCTGGTGCAGAGGCACCGTCCCAGCATCATTGTGGCAGGGCTGGACAGGGTCCCTGCTGTGCCACCAGCAGTGGTGACAGTCCCATCCGCCCCAGCTCGGCCCGCAGCAGGACATGGCCCTGCAGTGGTTCCCAGCACCGCGGCCCCAGCAGAAGCACACATCTGCGTTCCCAGGGCTCTCTCCGAGCTGCCGGCACGTTTCTCCTGGGAAATGTTTGGGTTAGGGCTTCACTTTGCTTTCTGAGCCGCTGAGTTTTATTCATAGGCCGTGGCCTCTTGAGACATCCTCAGCCATCAGCCTGGTCCAGAGGAAAAACAAGCCGTTCCCTGGACATCAGAACTATGAAACAGCCAGCAGTGCCGCAGAGCTCGCTTCAGCCCCAGCGCCGGGGTCCCTGCCGCGCAGGCGACAGGAGTTGGGGCAGGAGCCTCGCCCCACAGCCCCCACCAGGAATTCAGCTGTGCTGAAGCCACTGCGTACCCCCGGGCGTCACCATGCCCAGGTTGGGTCTGTCTGTCGGAGAGAGCCGAGGCCGGTGGACTTACGGACCCGGACCCGCCCCAGCTCTGGGAAGGGCCATGCAGCAAAAGGGGTACGGAGCCAAACGGCAGGTGCCCCCGCAAAAGGGGTACGGAGCCAAACGGCAGCTGCCCCGGCCCTGGGGCTGGGCAGGGAGTGCGTCTGGCTGACAGTCCTGCACCCAAAAATGCCAGGGTCTGCGTGCGGAGGGGTGCTGCGAGCTTCCACCTCTGGCTTCAGAACTGCGGAGGACACCATGCTGAGCATGGCTGCGCATCCCTGTGGGACACAGCCCATGGGACGTGTTCTGGTTAACAGCCGCATACCCTCTCTCTTTTGCAGGCTTGATCTTACTGTTTTACTTCATTTTCTACATGTTCCTGGTGGGAATGTTTGCCTTCTGCATGTACGTGATGCTGCTCACGCTGAGCCCCTACACACCCACGTACCGGGACCGCGTGTCTCCGCCAGGTACGTACCCCAGCCAGCCTGGCCTCGGGCACTCACCCAGCAAAGTGCTACCAAAATGGCAGGCAGGGACCTCGGGTAAAGCCGTGCTGGAGCTGTACGTGCCTACGGTCAACCAGCCCTGCATAACAAGGGGTGTTATCACTCACCTCGGGGCACCGACAGTGCTGCAGGTTCTCTGCAGAGGATCAAGCATCCTAAACAGCCCCATGTGAAACATTAATTCTAATTATACTAATTTTTATTCTAATTGTGCTAATTAATAGGCTAATTATTCTCAAGGTAAATGAGCAAGTTTAGGCATTTCATAGGTGATGCTCCTTCGTTTTGGTTGCTGCCCCTTTATACCGCATATCCAAACCAAGAGCAGCTTTTATGCATTATTATTTGGGGAAGTCCTGGCAAGATAATGTTCAAAAACTCATTTTCCTGCTGCTGTTTAAGAACTGACCTGGTCCAGGGTGAGGATGGGGGAAAGTCCCTGGTCCCCTCAGGGCACCCACGACTGTCAGCACAGCGGGATCCTGCCAGGGATGAACCCCAGCTTTGCTTCGCTGCCTGGAGTCACCCCAGCTGCCACGGCACAAAAACACGTTTTCATGTCAGTGGGGAATGCGAGGGCTCCTCGCCCGGCTCCCTGCCCGGAGCTGGCTGCGTGGCTGGGAGCATGGGGGACCCCTCGGCCTCCGCGCGCAGCCCCAAGCCCATCTCTTCCCTGCAGTGCTGCTGAGATCCTCCAGGTCTCCCGTGTTTCCCAGGATATTTTGATGTGCGTGGTGTTCTCTGGGTGTGAAATGGAGGTGAGGGATCAGCGGGTTGAGGAGAGAGTTTATCTGTGAGCTGGGGCTGCCGCTCTCCTGCCTGCGCCCAGCCCCAAGCCCAGTCACAGCGCAACCAGCCCCTGCAACACGCGCCCCAAGCCTGTGGCCAGTCCACCCACGTCTGCTCTAACAGGGTCCGTTTCCTTCTCCAGGAGTAATGATCAGACCATACCTCAATGGGTTCACCATTGCCTTCAACGTCTCTCAGCCCAGCACGTGGCAACCCTACGTGGACAGCATGCACCACTTCCTAGCAGGTAAGCTCTTCGGCACCCCAGCAGCCGTGTCAGCAAGTTGTTTGCATGCATGCACATGCACACACAGGGCAAGGGTCTCCTTCTGGGGCGCAGATCAGCTCTCGGCATCTTGCGACTCCCGTCTAGAAAGGGAGGCTCATAAGGTGGTCACGGGAGCTTCTGTGGGAGGGAGCCTTGCCTTTCCAAGTGGGACTTGACACGCGGATATGCTCTGAGAGTGTGGGTCTGTGCGGGTCTCGAGAAATGTTAACGAGCCTCTTGGTCCCCACTAGCTTATGATGACAAGGTTCAAGAGGAGAAGAATATCGAGTGCATCTCAGGACAGTACTTCATCCAAGGGGGCAACGAAAGTGAGGAGAAGAAGGCCTGCCAGTTCAAGCGCTCACTGCTGCAGAACTGCTCTGGCATTGAGGACCCAACGTTTGGCTACTCTAAAGGCCAGCCCCGCATC